TGTCGCTCTGCTGTACTGTAGGTTACAAGTGGGTCACTGTATAGTGGATGGTATTAAACTTGAATTCAATGATATAATATCATTGTATAAGAAAAACGATTCTGAGCGGAGGCGATATGTCAGTCTAGGTATAAGACATATTATATACTTATCTATGGTATTAAATTATATGGAATTTATGAATAAATTATTCATTGCCCCTTATAATATTATGCACAGTCTTATCATTGAGCATACTTCTTATTCCTTGTACTATGGTAGATTGTATGGCTAGGCCATAATATTTTGATTTTTCAGTTTCATATATCCCCTAATAATATTTTTAAATTACAACAAAAAACCCAAGATCGTTAATATTGATTTTAATATGTAATTTCGTCCAAATTTGAATTTAAAATGTCTGTAAAAATAACTGTGTTCATATATTTTTCAGATTTTTTGGTTACAGTATGAACTATTTATGAGAATCTTTTTTTTAAATTTTCAATCCTTAGCTATAAAAACTGAACATTTTATAATTTATTAATTACGATGATTGATAAATTTTGTCAAAATGCGATCTTTAAATGCTTATAAAAAAAAATGATGCCTATGTATTTTTAATATTTTTCAATTGCTATTGTAATAATATATCAGGAGCCTTGTATTAATTTTTTACACTTTTTGGCCCAACAGATAAAACATTATTAATATTCATAGAAAAAAAAAAAATAAAAAATTTAAATATGAAATTGTCCGTAAACAGCTCAAAAAGAATCAAAATATTTTCAAAATTGTATGGTGTATAGGAAATGCTAATTTAAACATTCAGTGCCATTTTCATGTATCTACAGTTGTTCGTTTTTGAATTACAACAAAATAAGGAAATCGCCACATGAGAAATCGAGTGAATATCCAATGTTGTAAAAATTTGAATTTCAAACGCTCATAAAAATTTAATTTGACTTTCTTATAGAATTTTTTTTTTGATAAATGTAGGAAATCTTATAAGGAATTTTGTATTACATTTTCATATCTTAGATTTAAAAAGCAAAATTTTTATGAATTTCTAACTAGAAATAATTTGCAAATTTTCGTGATTTTTCCATATTTTGTCATTTTTTGAACTTTAAATGCTTAAAAAAAAAACTGTGACTAACGATTTTTAATATTTTCATCTGTCTTTGAAACAATATAGTAGGAGCCTTGTATTACATTTTCAAGTATTTTTACTCAACAAATAAATTTTTATTGATATTCATAAAAAAAAAAAACTAATAAAATTGGAAACTGAAAATGTCCCTAAACAGTTCAAAATAAATCAAAATATTTTGAAAATGTTATCGTGTATAGAAAATGCAAATATAAACAACCACTGAAAATTTCATGTATCTACGGACATTTGTTTTAAAGTTACACCAAAAACCAAAATCGATTTTGCGTAAAAATTCCCGTTTTTCCTTAATTTTTCTTTTGTTTTTCTTGGCGCTTTTGAAAATTATTTCGAATTTTAAATTTTGACCTCCCCAATGCACCAACGATATTCACTTTCCAATGATATTAAAATTGTTCCTAACCTAACCTAAATGATATTAACATTGTTCTATATCTATAGACCATAGACCTTATACTTATAGACGGAACATCCTTATCCTACCCAATGTGCTGGTACATGTTCCGTCTATAAGTATAAGGTCTATGCTATAGACAGACCCCCTCGTTGATACCGCAGAAGTCGTAATCATGTCCAGTTTTTTGTGAGGGGCTAATTGATCAAAAACGACAACAGACTGAAAACGCCATAGATAATAACCGTTTTGTGTACCAATTTTTAAAAAAAAAAAACATAAAAAAGACTTAAAAAGCAACTATAATATTATGCCCTTGCCCTTCTAGTTATAGAGCTAAAAAAAACAATAAAACTATAAGAAATTATTATTTTGTTATCTAAAAATAAAATTGAATTTTAGATTCTGCAGAGTGGAACGATGAATGTATTGATTTTACAATGATGTGTGTTTTTTTTATTTTTTAAAAATCCTTAGTCACAGTTTTTTTTTATAAGCATTTAAAGTTCAAAAATTGACAAAATATGGAAAAATCACGAAAATTAGCAAATTATTTTGAGTTAAGAATTCGCAAAAATTTTTCTTTTTAAATCTAAGATTTGAAAATGTAATACAAGATTACTCATAAGTTTATCTACCTTTATCAATAAAAAAATCTCTACCAGACAGTCAAATTAAATTTTTATGAGCGTTTGAAATTCAAATTTTTACAACATTGGATGTTCACTCGATTTCTCATGTAGCGATTTCCATATTTTGTTGTTATTTATAAACGAATGACTATAGATACATGAAAATTTCACTGAATGTTTATATTAGCATTTTCTATACACCATACAATTTTGAAAATATTTCGACTCTTTTTGAGCTGTTTACGGATATTTTCATTTTTCAATTTTTTTAGTTTTTTTTTTCTATGAATATCAATAAAGTTTTATCTGTTGGGCCAAAAAGTGTAAAAATTTAATACAAGGCTCCTGATATATTGTTACAATATCAGTTGAAAAATATTAAAAATACATAGGCACAATTTTTTTTTATAAGCATTTAAACATCGAATTTTGACAGAATTTTTCAAAATCTCGAAAATTATTAACCATCGTAATTAATATATTAAAAAATGTTCAGTTTTTATAGCTAAGGATTGCAAATTTAAAACAAAGGTTCTCATAAATAGTTCATACTGTAACCAAAAAATCTAAAAAATATATCAACACAGTTATTTTTTACAGACATTTTAAATTCAAATTTGGACGAAATTACATATTAAAAAACCTAGAATAACTATTTTACTTATTTGTTGTGAATGTATAATATTATTCGTGGGTACTTGAAACTTCTAAAGTGTACTATTACATATATTTATGATAGTATCACGGTTTTTGTTGATGTATAACGCGTTATAAGTACCTAATGGATATTGTGATATGATTAATTTGGAATTTATTATAGGTACCTTATTATAGATATGTATATAATGTTATAATATGTCTTATACCTAGACTGACATACCGTCTCCTCTCAGAATCGTTTTTCTTATACAATGATATTGTATCGTTGAATTCGAATTTAATGTCATCCATTATACAGTGACCCACTTGAACCTACTGTACAGCAGAGCGACACCCACTTGCCCACCTTTTTTCTTATATTATTATTAATTATTCCGATATCGTAATAATTAGTTTTTTTATCATACCCAAATAGTTCGATAATTCAAGTAATACGGCTTATTGAATCGGTTTACAGCAAAACTACCTATTATAAAAATTGTAGAAACGAACTTTTTTAACAATCTTAAGACGCCCGTTTTTCGATATTTTTATTAATTAGTTGAATAATTAATGGATAAAAAGTTAAAAACCGTGTTAGTTTACCATGTGATATTGGACGATTAGAATACGACATCAAAAAACGGATTTCTTACGATTGTTAAAAAAATTGTCCTCTACAATTTTTGTAATAGGTAGTTTTGTTGTAAGTCGCTTCAATACGCCGTATTACTTGAAAAACAAAAGTATAGTTTTTATTAGTATAAAATTCGGATACGAATAGAAAATATAAAGCCGAACCAAATTAAATAATATTTGTCACAAATATAATAATCATTTTCTTATCTGGTTATTTATAAACTATGTACAGGCGCACGGCTGCGATAGCAAACCTGTTTTGACCATGGTGCGGCACTGCCGTTACGCGCGCGGGGTGGTGGTATGAACACCTAGTATCGAGCGCTGCCGCTGGCTGTAACGGGCGCAGCACATGACGAGCGTAATTAAACGTTTTTTTTTACCGAAAACATGGTTTCGTACTTCCAGGAATACGGCTTATTGAAGCGTTTTGCAGCATAAATACCTATTACAAAAATTGTATAGGAGAATTTTTTCTAGAAACGTAAGATGCCCAATTTTTGATATCTTGTTCCAATCGTCCAATATCGCATGGTAAATAAACACGTTTTTTTAAACTTTTTATCAATTAATTATTTAACTAATTAATAAAAATATCGAAAATCGGACTTCTTACGTTTCTAGAAAAAATTCTCCTCTACAATTTTTGTAATAGGTATTTATACCGTAAAACGCTTCAATAAGCCGTATTCCTGGAAGTACGAAACCATGTTTTTATGTCATATTTTGTCTACTGTGACATCCTCTTAAATATTCAAATAAACAATACTTTATAGGCAGGCGGTAGTACATAATATTCAAATTGTGAATACCTATTGTTCTGTTTAATCACGAGTAATTGTGAAGAGTTCCTTGTTGTATGTTCGTAGTATACTAGTATCTGTTAGTATCATTGTACTAGGAATGAAGATTAAGGATATATAAATTAAGTTGAAAATCGGGAAGTATAATATTATTATGCTATAATAGTATTAATTATTTTAATTATTTAAAAAAAAATATTGAAATTGGCAGAAAGCTTGTCCATGTCGTCAGGCAGTAATGTTGGCCAGTAAGATTTTATATAATGTTATATAAAAAGAAAAAATATTAAAGTATTGAAGCATGTATGTTTAATTGTGAGTTCAAGTAGTTTAGTAGTAATCTGCCGTCCTAAGGAAGAATGCCGTATATAGAAAAAAAAAAATGAGATTATTCTGTTTTACGTTTAACATTAGGTCACGTGTACATTGGCGAGCGGCGAGCGTTAAGCGGCGGCGTCGGTGACGGTGACGCTTGGTGAGCGACCAGCGGCAACGTGTGTACATTGAGGCGCGTTATTTTCATCAGCGACATGCTATATTTTTATAAATTTGTTTTCAGTACATAGTTGTATTTTGACTGTTCTGTGCGTGTTATTACCGTATTATTTTACGTGTTATTACGAAAAAATGTCGTTCCTCACAGTAGAACGTCTCTCGTTAATCTTGGATAATCCATTTTTACGTAAAAAGTTACTTAAAAAAAAAGGGTTGCTGTTCATCCCATAAATCGCCGAAGAAAAATGTATGGAGAGTATCATCATTTGTATAACGACTTAAGGAAATCACCAGAGAGATTTTTCGAGTACTTACGAATGTCAGTTGAGACGTATGATTTTATTTTATGTAAAATCAGTCATCGTATTAAAAAGAAAACCACAAACTTCAAAAAACCAATATCACCTGCTGAAAGATTATACGTAACTATAAGGTAAGTAAATATTTAAATAATAAAACAAGGATCCAATGTAACACCACAAATGTGTTATTATTATAATTCAACCTTTATAAATAGTTATGACTCATAACTTCTTAACTTATAAATATACAACATTTTAAAAAGTAACTTATAACATTATATACCATGTATTGCTAATAAAAATAAAAAAAAAACAGTCTTTTGTTTCATAATGCCATAATGGGCACTAAATATGATATAATATATGTTGCTAGTTGTATTTAAAATGTTAATCTAGTGTGTTATTAACATTATACAAATGTTGATTAGTATCTAATGACATATTTCCACTCAATATGTCAACACCTATGGTTGTGTTCATGTTCGGCAAATTCCATTGGGTTTGCTCACTTGTTTGTAAAGATACATTTTTTTCATTATTATATGGCCGATAAATTTGTCTTTGGACTGGTTGCTGAGATGATGTGGTTTGTATGAGTGATACTTCTGGATTACATGCATAACTATTAGATGAATAGCTTTTTCTTCTATAAACGTTGAGCACAGCATTTTGTATTTCACTTCTAAGTTCCAGTTTTTCTAGTGCTTGCAATCCATTGAAATAAGGCAAAAGACTTAATAGAAATTGTGCGTCTGGATTTTCAGGTTTTTTTTCACCATCTTGTGCTTTTTGTAAAATGGCAATTTTTTGAGTATTGTCTCTTTCCATACGTCTTTTTTTAATATTTGGATTTATTGAGTGTTTGGTATAATAATTTGAAGTAGAAGTGGTTTGAGAAATAGACGTGGAGGGTGATAAAGCCTCAGCGTCAGCAGTTAATGGCGTATCCACTATTTCTATAAGACTTTCATTATCTGAAGCTCCAGAAAATGATTTTTGAGAATTTTCTTCAATGCTTAAGTTTCCGGACATACTGCTAGGTATTATAGTGTCTTTAACAAACATCATCGAATTAAAAAATGGCCATTTGCTTCTGTATTCGCTACCACCTTCACCCGAACGACTTATTGGTATTTTTTGCAATTCTTTCCTGAACTTATCCTTTAAATTTTTCCATTTATCTTTTGCATCATTTCCTAAAAAATAATGGGTTACTGAGTGGTTTTATCGTAAAAACACCTATTAACAAAATTGTAGAGGAGAGGTAGTTAGAAGCCTGATTTTTGAAATTTTAATTTTAAGTCCTTAAAATCACTGTTTTAAAAACATATTATTCATTATTTACTAATACCTAGGTAAATTGTAAAATTGTAAACAAGACTGAGTAAAATACCTACATTAAACGATAAACTTATTTTAGAACTATGTACTAAAAGTATACAGTAGGGGTGGGGTGGACCTCAGTTATAGAGTAGGTCAGTATAATGTGTGTGTTAAAATTCGTTTGATAGACGATAGTAAATCGTTATTTTACGCGAAAATGTAAACACTCGTAAAATTTTTTTATGGAATAATCCTCAAATTTTCTTACAATTAAGATTAACTTATGGACAACCTAGTGTTAAATTTAAATTCTTAGCTTTTTATAATAAAATTTGTAGATATACATTTTTAACTACAAAATAGTTAGCAAATATTCATCATGATTTTGACGAATTTTGTAAATATTTGCACTTCAAACGCTTATAAAAAAAATTGTGCCTATGTTTTTTAACAATTTTTGAGTGACAGTAAGAAAACTGAACAACTCGGGTGGAGTCTTCTATTAAATTCTCAAGTAATTTATCGATGCGGAATTTTTTTTTCAACATTTAAAAAAAAAATTTTAGAAATCGAAAATTTAAATGGCTATCAATAGATTAGAAATTATTGTAAATTTTGAAAATAAAATTATATAAAGATAATATAATTTGACTGGGCTATAAGTAACGTGACTTTTAAATAAATTAACTCGTTACTTTAAAAAAAAATATTTATTATTTAGATATTATAACATATCAATTTATGTTTTTATATAGATATTTATCAACGGGTCTTTCATTTCGAAACTTGGCTTTTTCGATGCGAATGGGTGCTTGCACAATAGCTAAAATTATTCATGAGACTTGTCAAGCTATATGGGAAGAACTTGTTAATGAATTTATGCCAGTACCAACAAAAGAACACCTGGAAAAAGTGGCTATTGATTATTATAAACGTTGGGGATTTCCAAATTGCGTTGGGTCAATAGACGGAAAACATTGCCAAATTAAATGTCCTTCCCATTCTGGATCAAGTCACTTCAACTATCTTAAATATTTTTCTTTGGTTTTGCAAGGAGTTGCTGATGCTGATAAAAAATTTTTAACAATTGAAGTTGGCGCAAGAGGAAAACAGAGTGATGGTGGAACTTTTGCATCTTCAGAATTATTTTATTTGATCGACAACGATAAATTTAATATGCCTCCAGAAAAAAATTTGCCGGGGACAAATATTAAAGTTCCTCATGTGTTAATTGGCGACGAAGCATATCCGTTAAAGCCATACTTAATGCGTCCATTTCCTTCTCGAGGTTTAAATGCAGCTACAGAAAATTTTAACGATAATTTATCGAGAGCACGCAAATGCATTGAGTGCACTTTTGGTATACTTCGGGCTAAATGGAGACTACTTGGAAAAGACATAGAAGTCAGCTCAAAGAAAGCTATTATCATTATAAAATGTATGTGTATATTACACAATATTATCAGGGAAAAAGATGGAAATAGTGATTTAGATTACTGCAACATTATGCTTGGCACAGAAAATACTTGGGAAAATGAAACAATGGTTCAACGAGCGAGAGGCGCAAATGCTCTTCAAAGAGCCAAAGACATAAGAAATGCGTTCGTAGATTATTTTTTAATATAAATTCAGTAGGTTATTATGTAAAATTGAATATTATATCTATAATATTTTATCTTATTTAATATTTTTATTGTAGTATTTCCAATACGCTTTAATTATTATTTTTAGTAATATGTGGAATTAAAATATTATCCAAAAAAACAAGTCCAATGTTGTTGGTACATTTTTTTTTATTTTTTTTTTATCGGTGTACAAGAAATTAAGAATAAAAATATATTATATTTAATATTTCTTTTTATATCTTATCTAAGGTTTTGGTGTTAGTACTATTCTAAAAATATAATAATTCTTGTCGTACATCACACCGCACACTTGTACGTACAGTATAATAATATAGTGTTATAGAATGTGCATAGAATACGTTCGAGTATCCGCCAAGTACTATCTACTACCTATTAAACCTACTATAAATATTATTATAGAATTAATAGAATTAAAATAATTAATATTATTTTTTTCTGCCCCCTTGAGCTTCGACATAACGAGAGTTAATTGTAATTTGTAATATTATATATATTATTTAAATAAAATGAATATTAGTTTATTATATTATAATATATTATAAATGTATAATACCAGTCAATCCAGCGATTTTTCCAATTTCTGCCCATATTTTTTTATTGCGTTCACAATTTTTATATCCCGGATGTGTGTCATCCCACAGACTTGGTTTTGTCTGCACCTCGGAAATTAAAATTTCCCGTGTATTTTGACTTGTCTTCTTCGACATGAGTGATGTTGATTGTTAAGAAGTAAAATAACAACTGTAAACTGATATCAGTATAGTATATTTTCAAGAGCAACGCGCGTCAAAATTCGAACATGTTCGATCTGTGACGCGACGCGACGTGACACGTCGCTACCGCTCGCAACTGCCGCTCGCCGCTAGTAATCAATGTACACACTCCGGTTTAATTACATGGGCTTAAATTTTTTTCCTAACGCGCCGCTCGCCGCTCGCCAATGTACACGCGGCTTTACAGTTTTACACGTTGTTTTTAAGTAAAAATGCCGTAACTATGGTTATTCATCGAGATATGTGTGCTTATAAGAAACAAATATTTCCGCAATTGTAATTAAATATAATCGATGCTTAGCAAAAACGCCGTAATCACAGTTTGCTAGGGAAGATTGCCGTATATTTTTCTAAAATACGGCGTTTTTACTTAGCACTTCATTATAATCTATATTTACGGCATTGTTGTTTAGAAAACTGGTCGTCATAATTTAGTATACATAGTCAACTCAGATGATATTTGTGCCCAAGAAATTGTTTTAAATTATTTTGAAGCCGGGCACACATTTATGTCCGCCGATAGTTTCCACCATCAAGTGGAACTTTCTTTAAAACGTCAGAAGAAAACCTACGATTTCGAAGATTTTGCTAAAGCAGTAGGGGCGGCCAATAAAGGAAATGTTAACATAAAAAAAATGAGTTTTTCTGATTTTTTTTTAATGGAAAGATTATAAAGGACAACAGAAACTATTAAAGTCCACAAATAGAGTTTTGTTGAGAGACATTGTTTCAATAAAAGCTGAACGTGGAAAATACGTATTGTTTACTAAAAGTCAGTTTAATGATGAACAATACACAACATTAGATTTCGTTCAAAAAAAATATATGAACAAAAAAGGAATGACTCTGCCATCTTCGCATACAGAAAATTGTGGAATACCAAAAGAAAAACGTGACGATATTCTTTCAAATTTGAGTCAAATTCTCCCAAAAAAATAGAAAACAATTTTGGGAAAATATAACTTTACATAAACAATAATTAAACTATTTCAACTAAATTATATAATATGTTAAACTGCTGCATGTATCTTTTTTAATAATTTATTTTGTGTATCTCATATTTGCATATATTTTAATTTTTATGTATATTAAAAATGTATAATGACTAGATGACTTTGATTTCAAGATAAAGATATTGTAATTACTTTCAAATTGAGTTATAAATTAAAACTAAAAATTAGTATTGATACGGCGTTATTTCTTCAATTGTTAGTGATTAGTACATTTTGGTATGCTACGGAAAAAAGCCGTAACTAGAATTACGGCATTTTTGCCAAGTAACCTATTCTAAATAATTAAGTACGTAATTAGTATGAATATCAAAACAAGCATATCTTGGTGAATTACAAATTTTAAATAAAATTGAATAGTTCCATTGCATTCATTGAGTATATTTCCGTAAGAAAATATGTATTTTAATTTGAAAAATATTATATTTATGAAAATAGAACTACCAAAAATTACTAAACATAAAAATTCATTTTTCTCGAAATGGCATGAAAGAAACTTACGGCATTCTTCCTTAGGACGGCAGTAATAGTAAATTGTAAGCACTAAACTATTTTAAAAAATGTATTCATAATTCAAAATTATTGATTAGGTATCATGCAATACCCTAACCTTCAAAAGAAGTTTAAAAAAAAAATAATGAAATCTGTACTTAACGGTAATACGAGTGTTCGCGCCAAGCAATTATTGCTTATCGCGGGACGCTAATCTGCTCGACGGCGACATCTTCCCTCCTCTTCCGTCCACTCATCACGTTACTCATGCCGCTACTATTGAAAAACGATTATGATAATTATTATAATAATTGTACGATTGTTGTATTTCATATTGTATATACTCTCTTTGTTTTTCTCATATAAATTATCTGTCGGCCTTTTGCCTCAGACAAATGTTATCGATGTTATCTCTATGAGATAAAAACTTTGTTTTTGTTTTTATTATTGCGGCCAACGCCCTTTTTGTATTATTATTCAATTATTCAATTTTTATTATTCGTGTTTTTTGGTCCGCTATTACAGCGTCCATACGTTTTTTTGTTTTATATATATTGTGTGATCCGCTCATATAGCGATCAATATTATTATTAATATAAATATTATTTGTTGTGATCTGCTAATATAGCGATCCGTGAATGGTGTGTGTGGACCGCTAGTAAAGCGAGTACAAAATATATTTCTTTATTTTATATTTCATGGTGCACATGGTTGCCGATTATTACTATTATTATTTTTTATTATTATACTGTGTGTCACTAAACAATCTGAGAAACAATAAAAATACGATCTTCAACAAAAATTCGTAAGTCTCTACTTTGTCATTATCTCTCTCGTCATCATCTTTGGCAGCTCGTTGTTGTCAACGTCGATGCCGTCAGATTCCGCGCGTAAGTCCGCCAGCAACGTAGGTATGTACGTTGTGTGAGAGGCCGCCCCAGGTCGACGAATGCCAACAGCGTCAATCCAGTGGGTCATCTCAAGACTGCAGTAGGGTTAAGGTAGTTTTAAGTCGTAACCCTATTGTTGTGAGCTCTGTGGTCATTGCACCAAACCGAATCGGCCACAGAGACCCCCTCCCCATAAATAGCCTGCACCATCCTCACTGCGTCAAATAGGTCTTTCCCATCCTCGTCGTTATCGTCGTCGTGCGTAGAATTGCCTATCCACCAACCATCAGGCGGAAGCACCTAGGATTGCCTATCAACCACAATAGTAGGCGGTAGGAGTGACACAGGCAACGACAAACACCCTCCTCATAAACAAAATTGTTCTCGGGCATCACCGAGTGGTCCTTCGGCTGTTACGGTTGAATTCTCCGGCGTAAACAACGACTATACTTATGAACAGCATATAAAGTAGAAACCAACATGGTGTTAGATCCTTGTTTACCCGTACTAGAAAAACGTGTTAACAGCTGAGTTCATATAACAAGGTTGTTATCATTACAACTGAACACTAAACATAACAGCTGGTCAAAATAAGAATGTGTAGTGGTAATCTTGAACTAGGCCAATTGAAGGACGGTATGTAGTGGGGATTACATGCGACAAGAGGTGATAGTCCAATAATCCAATGACCTACTTATAATATGTATGTATATTGTATAACAAATAACAATAAAAGTTATTGTCGGACGTAGGTACACTGATAATAATTTATCACCATAATATCTTCGGTATCGAATTTATTACTTGTAACTTCTGGTCTTTATAAGCGATAAGTATATCAATAATATCATGACCAGTGGCACTATTAGCATGAGGGAGAACTGTGAAACATAATGGGGTATATTGGGGAACAACTTAGGCTTAACTATCGTACTTACTGAATTGATTTGAATAGTTTATTATTTTTTTACGCTGGAGCACAAAAATCCCAAATACTGCGGTCTGCAGTACTGACTAGGTATAACGCATTTACACACAAACACCTCCCAAAACACTCCAATTTTGAGGAGTTGTATCTCGTCAACGGATAAACGAAAAATGAAAATTTAAACGTGATAATTCATAAGAAAAAAAAGCCTTACTAAATTATGAAATTTTTAGTATGGGTTGCCATTTGAAAATCATTAGTGTATGGTGGTTTCCCTAATAAATATAAGGGTGAAAAATATTAAATAGTTATATAATTCAAGAACCACGTAGATCTAAAATTTTGAAGGAAAAAAAAATTGAAAAAAGTGAATGCTTTTTGAGATAATGAGTGTTTTACGCTTAATCAATCACCCTGTACTAGTGTCTATATTGTGTTGTTTGTGATGGGCAATAGCCGCCCAATCGTCCAATATATTATTATAAAATAACAAAAAAATTACAAATACAAATACAAAAAAGGTGGGTAAGTGGATGTCGTTCTGCTGTACAGTAGGTTACAAGTGGGTCACTGTATAATGGATGCTATTAAATTTGAATTCAATGATATAATATCATTGTATAAGAAAAACGATTCTGAGCGAAGACGGTATGTCAGTCTAGGTTTAAGACAAATTATATACATATCTATGGTATTAAAAAAAAATTGACCTATAATAAATTCCAAATTAATCATATCACATTATCACAATATCCATTAGGTACTTATAACACCTTATACATCAACATCAATAACAAACCCTGATACTATCATAGATATATAATAGTACACTTTAGAAGTTTCAAGTAGGTACCCACGAATAAAATTATATAATCACAACAAAATAA